CGTCACCCACCCCCCCCCCCGAGCCCCGTCACCCCCCACGTCCCCCCCCCGCCGTCCTCCACCATCCCCCATCTCTCCCGTCGCCCCCCATGGTCCCCGACATCCCCATCGCCCCCCATCGCCCCCCACCCCGTCTCCCCATCACCCCTTTCCCCCCGGCCCCCTTCCCGCCCCCCCGTTTTGGGGTGCCCCGGCCGGGGGTCCCCGCTGAGGCCGCGCCGCTCGTGCCGCAGGTGACGATCTCGGTGGACGGGATCCTGACCACCACGGGCTACACGCAGGAGGATTTCACCATGCTGGGCTCCGACGACTTCTTCTACGTGGGGGGGTCCCCCAACACCGCCGACCTGCCGGGGTCCCCCGTCAGCAACAACTTCATGGGCTGCCTCAAGGACGTGAGTCTGGGGGCGCGGGGGGGGCTCGGGGACCCCCCTTCCCTCGCCCGTCCCCCCCGGGGGTGTGCGGGTGCGGGGGGCACAGCGGGACGTTGGGGGAACCCCGAGCCCCCCCCGAGTCTGCCCCGAGCCCCCCCGAGTCCCCCTCCGAGTCTGCCCCGAGTCCCCCCCGAGCCCCCCCCCGAGTCCCCCCCCGAGCCCCCCCCGAACCCCCCCCGAGTCCCCCCCCCGAATCCCCCTCGAGCCCCACCAAAGTCCCCCCGAGCCCCCCCGAGTCCCCCCCGAGCCCCCCCCGAGCCCCCCCGAGTCCCCCCCGAGTCCCCCTCGCAGTCCATGGCTGGGGGTCTGGGGGGGCCGCGGGACTGGGGTGCGGGGGCCGCGGGTCACGGCGGGATTTCGGGGCTCCTGCGGCCCCCCCGACCCCCCGTGTCCCCCCCGCAGGTGATGTCCAGGTGCTCGGGGTACGGTGGGATGTCGGGGACCCCCGTGACCTCCTCCCTCCCCTGTGCCCCCCCCAGGTCGTGTACAAGAACAACGACTTCAAGCTGGAGCTGTCGCGGCTGGCGCAGGAGGGGGACGCGCGGGTGACGCTGCACGGGGCGCTGCTGTTCCACTGCGACCCCCCCCCCGCGCTGGACCCCGTCACCTTCGCCACCCCCCAGGCTCACCTGGCGCTGCCCACCTGGCCCCCGGCCCGCGCCGGCTCCGTGTCCTTCGACTTCCGCACCACGGAGCCCAACGGGGTCCTGCTCTTCGGCCAGGGCCCCCCCCGCGACCCCCCCGCCGCCCCCCGGGGGCCGCCCCCGCCGCCCCCCGACTTCCTGGCGCTGGAGCTGCTGGACGGGCACCTGTACCTGCTGCTGGGCATGGGCGCGGCCGGGCTGCGGCTCCGCGCCAGCGCCCGCAAGGTCACGGACGGCGAGTGGTGCCACGTGGACGTGCAGCGCGACGGCCGCAAGGGTGAGGGGCCGGGGGGGCACGGGGGGGGCGCGGGTGGGAGGGGGGGGCTCAGAGGGGAGCGAGGGGCAGGGGTGGGCGTGCGAGGACAGAGGGGAGCCCGGGGAGGTGCCCGGGGAGGTGCCCGGGGAGGGTCTGCGCAGGTGTGAGGGGGGTGGGTGCACTGAGGGGTCACAGCTCCTGGGGGGGCACAGAGGGTGTGGGGGGGGCGGACAGGCGCAGTTCCTGACAAGGCGTGCAGGGGGTTGTGCAGGTGCCAGGTGTCCCCTTCATGCCCATGCCCTCCTTTGTCGTGCATCGGGGGCACCCCAAAATCCTTCCCACGCTTCCCTTTCCCCCGAGCTCGGGTTCAGTGAGCGGCTGCAGCAGCCCCCGGACCCACACCCCCTGTACCCCTGTACCCCCTGACCCCCTGGACCCCTGGACCCCCTGGACCCCCCTGCCCACCACCCCCTGTGCCCCTGTAACCCCTGACCCCCTGGACCCCTGTACCCCCACCCCCTGGACCCCTGTACCCCCACCCCCTGGACCCCCTGGACCCCCTGGACCCCTGAACTCCCATCCCCCCCAGGCTCTGTGTCGGTGAACAGCCGCAGCACCCCCTGTACCCCCATGACTTCCCTGACCCCCCGTACCCCAATACTGACCCCCCCGCGCCCCCCAGGCTCGGTGTCGGTGAACAGCCGCAGCACCCCGTTCCTGGCCAGCGGGGACCGCGACGTGCTGGACGTGGGCGCGGAGCTGTACCTGGGGGGGCTCCCCGAGGGCCGGCCCGGCCCCCCCGCGCCCCCCGAGCTCTGGGCCGCGGGGCTGCGCCTCGGCTTCGTGGGCTGCGTGCGGGACCTGTTCGTGGACGGGCGGAGCCGCGACGTGCGGGCGCTGCTGGGGCCCGGGGGGGCCCCGGGGGTCGCCCCGCTCTGCGCCCGCGACCCCCCCCGGCTGTGCGCGAGCGGCCCCTGTCGCAACGGGGGGACCTGTCGCGAGGGCTGGAACCGCTTCGTGTGCGACTGTCGCGGCACCGGGTACCTGGGGCCGCGCTGCGAGACAGGTGAGGGGGGGGCGCGCGGGGGGGCTCGGGGGGCCCGCGGGACGGACGGGTCACCCCCGCGGGGGCTGGGACCCCCCGAACACCCGGGTGGGGTCACAGCCGGGGAGGGGGCCCTGTCTGCCCGTGGGTACCCCGGAGAGACGAGGGAGCCCCCGCACACCCGGGTCCCCCCAACACCTGGAGTGGGGGTCCCCAGGCCGAGGGGGTCCCCAGGCCGAGGGGGTCCCCAGACCCAGGGGGTCCCCACAGGGGGGTGGTCCCCACGTGTCCTGTGCCGGGGTCCCCCCTCTTTGCCCCCCCCGAGGCCACAGTGCTGAGCTGTGATGGCAGCACAGGGGGGCTCCCCTGGGTCACCTGGAGAGGGGGGTCCCTGTGCCGGGGGTGCCGGGGGTCGGGGGTCCCTGTGCCGAGGGTCCCTGTGCTGGGGGTCCCTGTGCCGGGGGTCCCTGTGCTGGGGGTGCCGGGGGTTGGGGGTCCCTGTGCCAAGGGTCCCTGTGCCGGGGGTCCCTATGCCGGGGGTCCCTGTGCCGAGGGTCCCTATGCCGGGGGTCCCTGTGCCGAGGGTCCCTGTGCCGGGGGTCCCTGTGCCGGGGGTCCCTGTGCTGGGGGTGCTGGGGGTCGGGGGTCCCCGTGCCGGGCCTGACGGGGTCCCCCCCGTGCCCGCAGAGGCCGCGGTGCTGAGCTACGATGGCAGCATGTACCTGAAGGTGCAGGTGCCGGGGGAGCAGACGGAGGCCGAGGACGTGTCCCTGCGCTTCATGTCCCCCCGCGCCTTCGGCCTCGTCCTGGCCACCACCTCGCGCCACTCGGCCGACACCCTGCGCCTCGAGCTGGACGGAGGGCGCATGAAGCTCACCCTCAACCTGGGTGAGCCCCCCGGGACCCCCCAACCCCCTCCAGTACGGCCCGGCCCCAAAACCCTCCCCGAAACCCTCCCTGAAATTATCCCAAACGGGGCCCGAGTCGGTTCTCGTCACCCCGGGACGGCCAAAATAGTGCCTGGGACCCCAAAATGATGCCTGGGACCCCAAAATGATGCCTGGGACCCCAGAATAATGCCTGGGACCCCAAAATGATGCCTGGGACCCCAAAATGATGCCTGGGACCCCAGAATAATGCCTGGGACCCCAAAATGATGCCTGGGACCCCAAAATAATGCCTGGGACCCCAGAATAATGCCTGGGACCCCAAAGTGATGCCTGGGACCCCAAAATAATGCCTGGGACCCCAGAATAATGCCTGGGACCCCAAAATGATGCCTGGGACCCCAAAATTGCCCAGCTGCTGCCTGGGATCCCGGAATGATGTTCAGGACTTGGTGCCCGAGTCAGTTCTCACGACCCCCAAAAATGGTCAAGTTCGTTGCTGAGACCCCCAAACATCCCCAAAACGTTGCTGGGACCCCAAAACAACGTTCAAACCCCCAAAATGGTCCCTGAATCAGTTCTCCTGACCCTCAAATGATCAAGTTCACATCTGGGCCCCCCAAAATGGTGCCCAGGTCCCAAAAATGCTTCCCAAATGGTGCCTGAGTTGGTTCTTGTGGTCCCAAAATGGTCAAGTCGATGCCTGGGCCCCCAAAACACCCCCCAGTGGTGCTCACGTGGCTCTTGGCCCCTGAGCGGTGCCCGGGGCCCAAAAATGGTGCCCGAGCCCCCCAGAATCACAGCTGGGCCCCCCAACCTGGCCGAGGGGGGCTCACGGGAACCGGCTCGTCACCCCCGTCCCCGTCGAGTCCCGTCGG